AAAAAAAAAGGTGGCCTGGGCAATTACCTAATTTCCCCATAGCTCAATTCGTTTCGAAGAAAGAAACTCTATACAAGCAGCTCAGGTTGAAAGACCACACTAACCTAACAAAATTATGAGTATATTGCGGATGAAGTAATATTCTCATGGGGCCACTGGTACTACCTGCAAAGAGCAGCATTACACAGATGCCTGCTGCCTGGGGACATGGACTTCACAGTCACACCGCCAGCTTAGCCTGCATAAAGGATCCTTACATCCTGAGGTAAAGGTGAAGCTGGCAATAAAACACATCAGCAATCTGGAGCAGGTTACATCTGCTCAAAATAGCCTCCTGCAGAGACGAGACTCCGCCCTATGAACTAAGAGATTGACTGTATGCTAAGATCTAAAGGGAGGCGGGTTCCTTCTCCTCAGACTAATACAAGTTGATAGTACCCTATTTGATCTTACTAACTACTTAATCCCAGAGTCAAGATGGAACTGGACCCAAAGGATTCAAGTGAGCCCACAAATGCCTGCTCCTGTGGACTGGGGTCATGGCTCACACAGAAGCCTTTAAAAGTCAAATAGATAGAGCAGAGGAGAAAAGGACGCTTCCTCTGCCCACCTTGTTGCTCTATTGAAATAGATCTTTAATTTTGTTTGTCGTGTGTGTGTGTGTGTGTGTGTGTGTTTGTGGGTACGTGTGCAAGCACAAGTACATTACACATGTGACATGTGGGCATCAGAGAGTGTGAGTGTGTGTACAGAGATAAAAGAACAATCTTGAATATCAGTTCTCTTTCTGCTTGTCTTGAGACAGGGGCTCTCTTATTGTTCTCCAGGACATACACTAAACTAGCTGGCCCACGAGCTGCTAGGGTTCTTCTGTCTCTGCCTCTCATCTCCCTGTAGAAGTTCTGAGATTACAGACATGCACTACTACAATGCCAGCTTTATGTGGCTTCTGGAGATTCGAACTCAAGTCCTCATGCTTACACAACAAGCACGTTACCCACTGAGTCATCACCCCAGCCCCCTGTTAATATAGCTTTAATCTCCTACCTGCTTATACTTTCATGTCTTACTAGAAACAAAATATTCAGTGTGGTTTTTACTGTATCTAATAGGATTTAATGTGCTACTGTAAAAAAGGTAAAACAACAAATAACTCTTTTTGTCTTTCTCATTTCATTGGCTGTCTATCTCCCATCCCAAGTATGATGGCTATTTTTGGTTGTCAACTTGACTACATCTGGAATTGAAACCCAATGGCTAAGTACACCTGTGAGGGATTCTTCTCTCTCTCTCTCTCTCTCTCTCTCTCTCTCTCTCTCTCCTTCCTTCTAAGTTTGAAAAGCCATTTCAGATCTGGATCTTGAGGTGGAAAGATTTTAATCTAGATCTTTTGATCTGGGCCACACCTTCTGGTGGCAGATTACATAAAAGAAATGGAAGAAGGCTTGTTCTCTCTTTCCCTTCTTGCTCTTGCTCTTGCTCTGGATGGTAACTCTGTTTTTTCACTGGCATTAGAGCCTATTGCTTTGTGATTCTAGCATATACTGAAGATCAGCAGAGACATACAGCCTCATGAACTGAACAACTACTGGATCCTTGGACCTTCCATTGGTAGACAGCCATTTCTGGACTAGCTGGACCACAGCCTGTAAACCATTCTAATACGATAGATAGACAGATATATAATATAATAGATAGATAGGTAGAGAGAGAGAGATGATAGATAATACATAGATAAATAGAAAATAGATGATAGATAGATAGATAGATAGATAGATAGATAGATAGATAGATAGATAGACAGATAGATTCTACAAGTTCTGTTTCTTTAGAGAACCCTATCTAATACATCAAGGTACTTGTTTCTTCTTTTGTTTTGAGATAGGTTTGTTGTGTACCCCAATCTGGCCTCAAATTCACTATGTAGCCAAGGCTGGTCTCAGATTTATTAAATAGCCCTAACTAATCTCAAATGCATACTCTTCAAGCCTCAGCCTCTAGAGTGTTGGAATTACAGGGTTTAATTTTTTTGTTATTATTATTATTTACAATTTATTCACTATGTATCCTGGCTATAACACCCTCTCTCATCTTCTCCCAGCCCCACCATCCTTCTCTCTTCCTTCCTCTATGTCCCTCCCCTAGTCTACTGATAGGGGAGGTCTTCCTCCCCTTCTATCTGACCGTAACCTATCAGGTCTCATCAGGACTGCCTGGATCCTCTTTCTCTGTGGCCAAGTAAGGCCACCTCACCAGGGGGAGGTGATCAAGGAACAGGCAAGCAAGTTCATGCCAGTGACTACTTCTGCTCCCCTTACTAGGGGACCCACATGGAGACTGAACTGCCTATAGGCTATATTTGAGCAGGGGGGTCTAAGTCCTCTCCATGCATGGTCCTTGGTTGATTCATCAATCTCTGCAGGACTCTCTGGGCCCAGAATTTTTGGCTCTGTTAGTCTCCTTGTGGAGCTACTGTCTCCTCCAGGTCTTTTTATCTCCCCCTTCTTCCATAAGATTCCCTGCACTCTGCCCAAAGTTTGGCTATGAGCCTCATCCTCATGCTTTGATACACTCCTGGGTAGAGTCTTTCAGAGGTCCTCTGTGGAAGACTCCTGTCCTGTTCCCTGTCTTCTTCTACTTCCAATGTCTATCCGGTTTGCCCTGCTGGGTGAGGTTTCATCCTCTTCTCTAGAGTCCTCCTTGTTATTTAGCTTCTTTAGAACTATAGATTTTAGTATGTTTATCCTATATTATATGGCTAATATCCAGTTATAAGTGAGTATGTACCATGTGTGTCTTTCTGCTTCTGGGTTACCTCATTCAGATCAATAATCAATAAATGGGACTTCATGAAACTGAAAAGCTTCTGTAAAGCAAAGGACACTGTCAACAGAAAAAAAAAACAACAGACTACAGACTTGGTGAATACTACAGATCTTCACCAACCCTACATCTGACAGAGGGATAATATCCAGAATATATGAAGAACTCAAGAAACCACAAAACAAGTAATTCAATTTAAAAATGGAGTACAGAACTAAACAGAGAACTCTCAACAGAGGAATATTGAACAACAAAGAAACACTTAAAGAAATGCTCAACATCCTTAGTTATCCAGGAAATGCAAACCAAAACGACTCTGAGATTCCATCTTACACCAGTCAGAATGGCTAAGATCAAAAACTCAAGTTACAACACAAGCTGAAGAGGATATGGAAAAAGGGGAGCCCTCCTCCATTGCTGGTGGGAATGTAAAATTGTACAATCACTTTGGAAATCAGTCTGACACTTTCTCAGAAAATTAAGAATAGTGCTATCTCAAGAATAAGCTTTACCACTCCTGGGACATATATCTGAAAGATGCTCAACCATACAACAAGGACATTTGCTCCACTATGTTCATAGCACCTTTATTCAAATAGCCAGAATCTGGAAATAACCTAGATGTCCCCTCACTGAAGAATGGATACAGAAATTGTGGTACATTTACGCAATTGAATACTACTCAGCTATTAAAAAACAAGGAAATCATGAAATTTGCAGGCCAATGGATGGAACTGGAATTACAGGGTTTTCCCCACATCACGAAGTTACTAGAAGGCACCACTAGGGGCAAACTTCCCTGCTTACAGAGGAGAACACTTCCACTCCCTTTAAAAGACTGCATGAACCTTCAGAGTTGTTTGTTTCCATTTCAGCTAAAACACCTTAGAGAAGCTTATGAGAAATCATCCAGGGTTCCCCAACCAGTCTGACTCGTTCTTAAAAGTGGAGTTCTTAAAAGTTGTAAAATGTGGATTAGACATGGCTTATTACAATGTTAAACTACACAAGCCCAGAAGTGTCTGTGTTCATCACCTTTTCTTTTCAAATTCATGATGGAGGACCCCATACACTGAGCAAGTTCAGAAATGTACATCTTAAACTGGGCAAATCCAAGAACGTGCCTTCATCTTCATGGTCTTTTCTGTATGATTAAATATAGGCTCCTCAAATAAGATCCTCATGTGCCCACCATTCTGAGAGATCATTGCTTTGCAAATGATGCCAACATCCTCCTCACTCGCAGCAGGTATATTTTTCCCCACTCTTCTATGCCTGGGTTGTACTTTCTGGCTCTGTAATTTGCCAAGATGTGATCCCATGGCATCAAGATCATCTCCTCCTCTGGCCTCAGAAACTATAATCCAATTATATCAGTCTTAAATTGGTTGACTTTTCTACCTTCTCATTGTTAGTTTCTTCTCTCAGGTCGTTGTTGCCTCTCACCTAGGTCAGATCACTAAAAAACAACCTTTTTTAAAAAACTTTGTTACTGACAATCTATTTGTTGAGCACCCTTTATGTGTCTGGCATGGGGTTATAGCAACAAGTAAGTTCATACCAAAATCCTTGTTGTCCTAGAGGTTATCATATGTTAGCTGAAAATAGACAACAATCAGTGGATATAATGAACTGGTAAATTCTACAGCCTAGTAGCATGCGGAAAGGACTGTGAAAAAAAAAATTCAGGCAGAGAAAGAGAAATGTGAAGAGGTAGAGGGGGAGCTGTGTCAGTGTCAAGAAGATAAAACCTAAGCAATCAGATGATTAGAGAGAGAAGAAATGGGAGTCAAATCAAATGAGACTGCAGATAGAGAAAATCCAAGTAACCGTAAGTGAGCTATACAAAGAGTAACAATACCTCCATGATGGAGAAAGAAGACTGAAGCAGATATAATTGGACTGTAGCCTCTGAGGCCAGAGGAGGAGATGAACTTGAGGCGGATGGCAATGCCAAGCAGTAAGGAGAGGCACAATCCACCTGTCTGTAAAGAAGCAATAACTGCCTATGTACAGATATTGCACAAGGGAGTGCTGTAGAACAGGGACCCTTCTTTCAGTGCCTTAAAAGATGATAATACTTTTAACCTTAACTTCTTGCATTTACAAAGAGTAGCATTCAAGTGAAGCCACTCTGACCCTCCCTAGGAAATTATGTAATAGGAAACAGTTCTTACCTCTGTGTGGTTTTTTGAAGCCATGAAGACGACCCAGAAAACAAGGATAAATATCATCATCAGGATCAGTTTTTGAGCTGAGGCTTTTGGAAACAAGGCAAGCAGTATTCTAAGAGTGAGGACAGGAGAGGTCATCACATATTAAATAAAAAGTAAATTAAAAAATAAGTAAAAAATGCCCAATGCCTCTGAGAGCTTTGCTCACTCCTCTGTTGTTCCAGAGTGGGTTCACACACTCCTGGATTTTGCCAAGTCACCACTGAAAATCAGATAGAGAGCTTTTCCCTGAGGCAGGGAACAAAACAGGTTGAGAGACTTCAGGTTTCTGACTCAGGAGCGGCCTTCCTGCTGTGTCAGAGCAAGTCTGGAAGCTTTCCTTGTATTCAGGACTTGGTGTGGACAGTCAGGTCAGCCATCACTTGGGCAAAAAACCTCCCCACCCCCTGCAATTCTCTCATCACCCTGCTAATCTGACAAGTGTCTCTTCCAGGTTCAGTAATAGGTCTCTTATTTAGTTATTCCATTTTTTAAGGCAGCTTTCTTCCACCTCACGTTCTATCTTTTTTATGTCATAATAGCTGACTAATGATTACCCCCCAAAGAACAGCAGTTTCAGAAAAACTCAGTGTTGAGTAGCCAAAGTTTTTGAGTTTTCATCTTACTATTTTTGAAATCCAGAATCTAGGAAAAGCAACAGAGTTAAATTTCAAGTGTTCCTCAAAAACAAAAACAAAACAAAAGCAAAAACGAACAAACAAATAAAAACACGTGTTTTTTTTTTAAACTAGTGTCACAGTGGGTGGAGGACCTCCTCTCAGCACAGCTCCATATACGTACACGTATTATTCCCATAGAGTTGGCATGAATCAACACTTGTCCTGACTCTACATGGAACAGTACTATTTCCTAGCTATTCTACAGGGTTCCGTGCCATTCCTTCCCACTTTAAGGTATTTTTAAGCCCGTGTTTTGTTGTCCTCTGCAGCAAAGCCCCCGCTAGGCTGCAGTCCTCCCACTTGCCCCCATGGTGCAGCCCATCAAGAAGACTGGAAAGTACACACCTTTGGGTGAACATCCTCCTCATGCTCTCATGTTCTCCTACAACACTGAGAGCTATCCAGAGAGGTTCCTCGTTGCACGGGCTCTTTACATCTCTTTCAGCGTTGGAGGGTCTATCTAAAGCTTCAGTGATCAAAAGCTGACCTTTAGCCTGTAGGCACAGTGCCATAGCAGAGATTACCAAACTCAATAACCTGTTCCTGTTCACCACAGCTTCAGGAGGAAGCTCTGCTCCGAAGTTTGCTTTCAGAGAGATGATTGCAGGCAGGTGTGGGCTGTCAGCTTTTCTTTTCTTCCAGCCAGGCTTTCCATGCTCATGACAGTGTCCCCCTCTCACTCCACCCCCTGCCTTAGGTTTGTTCATCTGTCCAGTCTGTCTGTAGTCCTTCACCTCCAAGACAGCAGAAGTCTCTGAACCACTGGGAAGAAGAGCAAGTCTCCGGCCACAGGTCTGCCTCAGACTTACGTGCTTGGTTCTTGGCAGTATTTCCAGGGCTTTCTCTGTAAACTCTTCCCCTTTGTTCTAAACTTTCATCAATATCAAACATTCCAACAGTTTCAATAAAACCTGAGGCCACAAGTAAATCAGCCACAGGTCTCAACCCCACTGTAACCAGCATGTTGTCAAAGAGAACTGTGAGGAGCATAGGTGCCATGACACCAAAGATGCTAAGCAGCCACAGACAGCCACCTGTCAGAAGACAGTCTCCCACCACAGGGCATGGGACCAAATGTGTATACGCACTTTGCTCTTCCAGAGGGTAATCATATCTAAATCTCTTCGTATAAAGTATAGACCTAGATACAGACCTGTACACGCATGCATGTATTTAGCACATATGTATAGATATAAATGCATATAGCATTTGTTCATTTACATCGATGCCAATTCTTCCAAGCATGTGACCAATTAACTATATATTATATACATTAGTGGCTGTGACCACAGCACCCTGAAAATTTTGGGAAAACGAAGAAACGCTATCAGTCCTGTCACCCCACCCCAGGAGGACAAGCTGTTCGTCATGTTCTCATCCACTGTCACATGCTGTATGAAGTAGGAGAACTACAGCCGTATACCGCGTCATGCCATGCCAGACAACAATGGCCAGCTGTAATGGTGGTATCAGAGAGTGTATCTCTGGCAATGCCATACCTGTTTCAGTGTGTGTAAGTACATGCTATGATGTTTACACAGTGACATCATGACCCAGGTTTGTGCATCTCGGGACATAACTCACGTTTAAGTGACGTATAAGTCGCAGTGAGCCCAGGACTCTTTTTGCCAGCTTCACTTCAGTACAGTTGACAAAAATTATATATGTTTACATTACAGAGTGATGTCGTGTTACATATATACATGATTAAACGAGCACTAAAATAAAATTAAGACATTCTCATAGTTCATTTTATTGATGACATAAGACCATTTAAGACCTATTCTTATGGGCTCAGGATAAAGCTTAGTAGTACAGAACTTGGCTAGCATGCAAAAGGCCCTAGTTTCAATCCCTAACACTGACAAAAATTACTGACCTATTGTCTTAGCAATGTTCAGGTATACAATGTGCTATTGACTGTAATCACCCTGCTATCCAGGAGGGCTCTGGAGTTTATTTTTCCTGTCTTGTTGAAATCCTGTATCCCGAACTCCCATCAACTCCCAGCAGCTACCATTCTATTTCTTATTTCTGTGAATTTGACATTTTTAGAATTCGCATACAGAGAAGGGCAATTAGTCTGTCTTCTGGGCTTAGCCCACTCCAGTAGGCACATTGTCTTCCAAGTTCATTGAAGTCATTGCAAATGATAAATTTTTCTTTCCTTTGAAGGGTAAACATACACTACCATATGAACAAAACAATTTATTAATTCATTGTCAGGCCCTCACACAATTTTCATATGTTAACCTTCTTGAATGGTGCTGCAGTGAACATGGGAAGACAAGTAACTCCTTGGTGTTCTACCTTTTTTGTCTTTGAATATATATCAAGCCACAGAATTACTGTATCACAAGGTAGTTGCTTTTCATTTTTTCGAGGAACCACCATGCTGCTTTCCTATCAGTGGTTACATAGAATTCTCCTCCCTTCCTATCTTTCTTTAAAAAGCCATTGTGACACAGTGTCACTGTTTAGTCATATCTCTTCATCAGTTGTTTGACATTATTTCTTGCCTAATAACTTGGCAGAATTCAGTAACGAAGCCATTGATTCTAAGGCTTTTCTTTGCTGAGATTTCTTTTTAGACTTGTTTTTTGAGTGCGGTATGTGCATGCATGTCTGTACTCCACATGTGTACAGGGCCCTCAGAGGCCAGAAGATGGGAATGGGTCCCTGGAACCAGATATAAATGGATGTGAGTCACCATGTGGGTACTGAGAATCGAACCAGGGCCTCTGGAGAAGCAGCCAGTGTTATTAACCCCTGGGCTGTCTTTCTGGCCCCTACTGAGAAGCTTTTGCTGCTATTTAAGCTCCTCACCTAGTGCAGCTCTATTCTTTCTGCCTTGTGGTTTTGGTAGTCTGTGTGTTTCCAGAACTTTGTCCATTTTCTAGGTGATTTCAAACATGCTAACATCTAATTGTTCACAACAACCTCTCTAACATATAATTGTTCACAATAACTTCTCCTATGGTATCTCCATTTTGTCTGTTGAAATGTCTTTTTTTCTTTTATGACTAATTGATTAAATTACGATTGTTGAATACATCCCCTTTCTCTGCATCTCACTGTTACCTGTTTCTGTAATTGGCCTCTTGGGGATGGGTGGTCAAACTTGATCTGTTAGAGCTACCCAGGCTTAGACCCTGAGGTCTTCGGTGGCATTAGTATGTTGGCTCTCACCAGCAGGAACAGGAAACAGACTGACAAGAGAATTCCATTCCTCCCCTTCAGCCTGAAGGTTCACTATAATGCTCTTAGGGACAGATCCTAAAGAAAAAAAAAAAAAAAAAAACAGATAAAGTCCTCAAAGTCCCTGCTCCAGAATCATAAAAGCAGATGATAGCTTGTAGTGAAAGTCTAACGGCTTAAAAACAGGCATGCTAGCTACCTGATTAGGTTTATTCAAGCTTTATTTATTTATTTATTTATTTATTTACTTACTTAATTAATTAATATGTGTAATCCTGTAGATTGAACTTAGAGCCCTGCATGTGCTAGAAAAGAATTTTATCACCAAGTTACATCCCGTCCATTGTCAGTTTGGGGAGAAGGGGGACATGTGTTGGTAGTGTGTGTGCACATATGTATATACATATTTGAATGTGTGTGTGTGTGTGTATGTGTGTGTGTGTGTGTGTGTGTGTGTGTGTGCGCGCGCACACACACCTGACGTTGACAATGGGTGACTCTCTCAGTTCTCCACTTTATTTACTGAGAGAGAATCTCTCGGTATAGGTGGGAGCTCACAAATTTGGCTAGTCTAGCTACCCAGCTTGTCATGAGGATTCCTGGCTGCTGCCTCCCCTCAGTGCCAGGATTATAAGTAGTAGCCATGCCTACCTGGCTCTGCCTGGGTTCTGGGGATCAAATGTCAGTCCTTATGCTTGCATGGCAAGTGCTTTACCCACTGGACTGTCTCATCAGCCCTTGTCACTTCTAAAGAAAATTTCCACAGCCAGGCAGTGGTGACACACACCTTTAATTCCAGCACAGTAGGCAGAGGCAGGAGGAGCTTTGTGAGTTCGGGGCCAGCCTGGTCTACAGAGCAAGTTACAGAATAGCCAGGGTTACACAGAGAAATGCTGTCTAAATAGATAGATAGATAGATAGATAGATAGATAGATAGATAGATAGATA